TATCAATTCAAAAGAATAATTCATGAAATTGCTGACAATAATTTTGTTTAATTTAATTAATATGGAACCAAGATAACGTAAACATCAAATTTTGTATTAATTAAAAATTAATAAAAACCGCTTTCAACAACTATTTTTTTGCAAAAATATATTTTTTCAATCTCTGACGTCAAAGCCAACATTTGAACAATTGTTAAGATCAATTCTGATCATTTAAATGAATTAATTGATTGAAGGAAATTCAATTGATATGAATTCAAAATGAAAATCCGTGAAATGATAAAAAATAATTTTATTAATGAACATTGAGATTTTTAAGACCCCAGAATTATGTTAATAACCCCGAATCGTTGAATTTTGATATTAGCAATTAAACGAGAATAAACCCGGTATAATCTCAACCCTCTAACCCAAGTTGAACTTCTCGCGGGTACTCCCATCGGTGACTTTATCCGCACCATGTTCGTACCCATCTCAACGAACCCCTTCAACAAAAGGAGAACCGTATAACAGGATCGTTAACGTTAAAGGAACTTGGGCAATGTTATTGCCGATGTGTTCCCAGTGAAACTCAACCGCTCCAACTTTTAGTTTTACGCGTCGATTCGAATTAAGAATTTATGGTAACTGCCACTTTCTTTATACTTTCTATCTGAGAATGGGATACCCGGGTTATTTTAAATGTATTCCCGGTGGAGAATGCACTCCTTTACTTTTAATTACTTTCGGGGACAAGAAAATTGCCAAAAGTTGGCAAAAAAAAATTTTAATTATCAAATTATTCATTTCTTGTTAAATTCATTCTTAAAAATACTAAATGTCCAAATTTTCCAATTCATGTCTTTTTATTAGGAAAGGGGGCGCATTAGTGTCTAGTGATTTGTTGGTGATAATAATGTATTCATTTATTCATTGAAAAGGAGTGAATGTCCGCTTTAATTATGTTTAGATTTGAGAAAAAATTTGAGAAATTATCTTTAAAAATTTTCACGATCGAAAAATCACGTTGTTAGGTTTATGAAATCGGTCCCACTGTCCACTGTCGAAATTGAGATTTTTTCGTTGTCTTTTTCGTCTTTCAAAACGTTATTCTTCTATGTTTTTTCAAAGTGCATATAAATTTATTATTCATAACAATTCCATAAGCATTTTGGTTATTCCATTTATTTATTCATAAATCTAGCATCTGCATGGCTAACTAGATTGCTGACCAAAAGTGTTTCACCAATTTTTTAATAGAGGAAAATAAACCTCATAAAAAATTATGAATTTGTTTTTCTGATTTTCTTCTCCCTTTCGCAGTTCACGGAATCGCAACGTCAGCACTCGAGAAAATATTCCATAAATGATGGTGAAACAAAAATAATAAGAGGACGTAATGAAGAAACATGATACGAGTGTTATAATTATCCAGAAATGATCACAACGACAATACCAAAGTTACAACTCCACTCCCTCCCCCAACTAGAGTAAAACCAAGAGGGTAGACTTCCCTCACACCAGTCTGTTTTCTTTGGAGCGTAACTTGGAGCCACTGGGAGTCGGACTAACTTCTGCTAATAACGCCGAGACATTAATTTCGGACGATTGGGCCCAACGGGGCGTTGTAACGCCCGAGACACATTGCAGAGTTCGCAAAACTCAATTTTTATCCAACTTTAAATTAATAATCAAAGAGACCCAAACTTAGTTATTAGAAAGTGAATTTAGGGTCGTTAATCCCTGATATCAGACGTAAAAATACTCTCCAAAAAATTCCCACCTCCACCCCTCCCTCCCGTTCGCTTACCCTTTTTTACGTCTTATAATCGACTCCAAGGCGGCTTAATACCCGTGGGAGTCGTTTGCCGGGTGAAACGAGCCTCTGAAGAATGAAACGAGTGCGACGAAAAGTTTAACGAGCTGACTGGGGACGATGGGAATATTTCCTTCTTCACAAGCATTTATTACATTGAAACAAACAGGTGATAGTTCGCATGCGACTAGATGTATCCCTGACGTGATTTGAATTGATAATTTATTAGAAGATGAAATAGATGAAAAAAAGTTTTGATTTTCAGGAACACATCACTGATTTCGCATGATTTAATGTTGATGTTGGAATCATTGAGTTTTTCCGTTTGTGACAAAACAATTGGGCATTCACAAGGTCCGGTGGGTCTTTGGGAATCTATTAGCAACAGTGGAAAAAAATTCAGCGAGGCTTTTAGAAATGACGGACATCTTTTAAAGAAAAAAACAAATACAGTTTTTTTCTCTGTGTAATTATTTCTTTTTTCCATCGTATAGATATGGATGAATTATAGATAATGTATCAATTATTGAAATCATCTAATCGTGATGAGCAATACTGACAATTTTTTTACTTATTTTTAATCAATTAATTGTTCAAATTTATATTGATAAATATTTAAGGTGGACGGAAATTATTCCTGTAGACTCTATTTTCAATTCTACGTCCATTTTTATTTCATTCTTTATGAAGTAGTTCTCTGGAGTTAGGTCTCGGATGATTCCACAATTTCATACTATATATTGTTGTCCATACATTATTCTGAATCACTATCTCCCCAACGATTCATCCTAAAGAAAATTCTCAAAAACGCTTTTTCGTCCAGAATTAAAATTCCAACCAAAAATACCTAACAAAGTGTTCCCCTAAAACGACTGATTATCGAGATTACGCAAAATATTCTGCATTGGAATTTTTTTTCTTATCATTATTCCCTCAATTAAAGTCCTTCCAAACCCTCTTAATTGAACAAACAATCCACAACTCTAAAAAATACTGTCCTCCACGAAATCAGCGCACAATAAGTGCAAATAATTGCGAAAAAAATGCACCTAGAGTGTTACGTAAACGTTCTATGCTAATAGCCCACTCTGAAATATGCACCTTCTGCCCACCGGGTAGCGGGTAACAATAAACTAACACTCAGTGCTCCCTCCCACCTCCCCTTGAATGACACAATAGGGACACAAGTCTCGTCACCCTCAGCGTGCCCTAACGATTCTCACCTACGACTCGTCAACTCTCACTCCCGAGTACTCACTCCAGTCGCCGAGTAATCCCCAGGAGTCACACGTGTTTACTCCCTCATTTATTTATTTTTCTTCCTCTCCAGAATTTGTCTCGTTCTTTTTTTCTCCTCGTTTTCTTAAAAAAGTTTATCGTCCTCTGGGTAATTTTCTTTTACTTAGGGGGAGCAAGTTTTTATGAGGATTTGGAGCTCCTCGAGGAGTTGGAGACGTGAGGAAACAATGAATTGTAATGATAATGATGAAGATGTGATTCTTATTTTTTTTGAGAATGAAAAAAACATTGGAAATGTCCTTGGTGAGGGAAATCACTGCCCCTGGAGCAATGCTCAACACTTCAGTTCATGAATAATTAGAGGGAATCAATGTTTTAACCCAATGAAAAAGCAGGGTGTATTCACACGCTCTACGGTAATTTTGACCGTGGATATACGGGACGTTTTCCCGTGGATTCAAGGTAATATTGGGATGTTGAAATTTGGGGACCTAGTCCCTATGAATACATTGAGAGAAAAAAATTAGCTCTGCCCAAAAGATAAATGTTCACCTGTACAAAATTTTCTTGTCTCAAGATTATTATTCCCCACGAGAAAATATTTTGCAGCGAAAAATTTATTCTTTCCACTTGAAAATCTGACAGTGGCATATCAATACATATTCTTTCGAGTAGAATGCCAGGATTCAAATATCATGATAAATAATAATCTGTTTGACTGCAAACCAAAAAAATTTCCCCGAAGCAGAAGTTTGAGCTGACAGAAGAGCCATTCTTTCAGCAAAAATACGACTGTATAATCTCTACTGCGACTTTCTATATTATTTGCAATATTACTCATTTGTTTCCCCGCCATTGATAGTTATTGCGTGAGAAATCAAAGTCCAGTTCTGAGGTCACAAACGGATAAGTTTGAGAAGATCAAACCTCTGATCCACAGAAAATTTTAAAACCTTTTACGAAGCTTTTTTGTAATCAGCGGAATAGTGTACTTCTTTTCCGCTTGACTTGTGTATGTGAAAAAAGAGATTTTGAGGCGGCAAATTATTTATCTATTTACATCAAACTCTACGTTGACTCCACGTATCTTATATTATTAGACGAAGTTATCTCGATATTTTTGAGCGGAATAAATATATTTTCGGCCGAGGTAATTTTTTCTCTCAGTGTAGCCTCACAATTCAAATGGTGTATTTAACAAATGAATTCCAACAAAAAATTTTTGGAGATAAGATATATTCACCCCTTCACCATGAAGTCCCTCACAAATTAAGGGGTGTATTTAAAAACTGAATTCCAATAAAGAATTCTAATAAAGTTTTGAGGATGGGATACATCCACCTCGTCCCCACGAACTTCCCCAGAAATGAAAGGGTACATTTAAAAAATGTAGGGGAGGTTGGGGTAAAACGGACACTTTTAACTTTTTTTAAAATGTTAATGAGGGGTTGAAATGTTGATAAAATTTAATAATTTTTTTTTCAATACAACGAACGATTCTTTCCCTTTGTGACGAGCCTAAACTGAGCTCAATTGATCAATTTGTTTCTAAGTTATGAATAATTTTTAAAAAGTCTAAAGTGTCCGTTTTACCCCACCCTCCCCTATTCCAAAAAAACGGAAAAAAGTTTTAGGGCATGAAATTCATTCACCCTTTCGTCATGAACCCCCTCACAAATGATAGGGTATATTGTACAAATTCGTTCCAAAATAAGCGAAAAATTGTTTCGGACACAAAATATATTCACCCCTTCCCCTTGAATCCTCTCGCAAACAAAAGGGGGTTCATGGAGTTTCATATATTTTTGGGGGGGAAAAAATGGGTACCCTGACTTCGCTCCCTCTTTCAGCCCTGGTCAGTTATCTTATTTGGTCACTTTCCCTTTTACCGACCCGCTGATAATTTTGATATGAAGCTTCGAAATCGGCCGCAAAACGCGGGGGGATAAGTTACAAAAAAAGTTACTAACCGCGATCAATAAATTTTTTACAAAATATAATTATTTTCAAATTGGAACTTACATTTTGATCAACAAAAGGTGTGAAACTTCTCTGTTTAAGAAAGGAAAGGCTTTGAAATCGCAGCAAAAGTCCAAAACCGAGGTCTCATCGACCATATAGGTCCCTGCTTTTCCCCCGCTGCATTCCCATGCCGACAACATAACCTCATTTTCCCTTTTCACTCCACGCTGCAGCTGATATGCACGTGGAGCTATTCAGTCCCCATCCAAACGTCTAAATACTATGATAATATATTTATAACAAGTGTCCGACTAACCAGCGACCGAAAATGGCTATGTACAACTTCAAAAAGATCGCTGTGGTCCCCACCTCCAAGGTAAATAAGCGTAAACCATATTTCAAAAAATTCATAGGTTATATTGTCATAATAAACCCCCTGGATCACTAATTTCTGTATTTCTTCGCATCCCAGGACTTCATCGATATCATATTATCGAAAACCCAGAGGAAGACTCCCACAGTGATCCACAAGAACTACAAAATCTCGAGAATTCGTGCATTTTACACACGAAAAGTGAAATTCTCTCAGCAAAGTTTCCACGACCGTCTGTCCCAAATTATCCAGGAGTTCCCGAAGCTTGACGATGTCCATCCATTCTACGCCGATCTTATGAATGTTCTGTATGACAAGGATCACTACAAATTAGCCCTCGGGCAGATCAACCATGCCAGACACCTGATTGACAAGTGAGCTCCATAAAATGACTTCACACACTCAGAAAAAACTATAATTCTGTCAGTCAAATTTGTTTCAGACAAGATCTTGCAGTGAAATTTTGTATGGAAATTTTGGCATTTGTCTGGAACAAATTTAATTAGCAGAATTATATTTTTTCTGAGTGTGCACTTTCTATCGTGCCTCAATCACAATTTTCTTTATCCTCTTTTTTTTCGGGTTCTTCCAGTGTCGCCAAGGATTACGTTCGATTACTCAAGTATGGAGACTCCTTGTATCGGTGCAAACAACTCAAGAAGGCAGCCCTGGGTCGCATGGCCACGATAATGAAGAGGCAAGCTGCCAATTTGTCGTACCTGGAACAAGTTCGTCAACATTTGGCTCGGTTACCCAGCATCGATCCCTACACCAGGACGATCATTATCTGCGGGTTTCCCAATGTTGGAAAAAGTAGTTTCATCAACAAGGTATATATACTTTGGTATTTTAAGTAGAATAGTGAGCTCAATTTGAAAGATTGACTGCTTGAATCAATACTTTGGCTTCTGAATGGGAGCATTGGATATCCCAAAGCCGAATTTACAATTTTTTGAGTCAGGGTAACTAATTTTGGCCTCAGGCGTTCGAATATGCTATTTTTAGACCATTTCCGGATGTACGTATACATCTATGTATGTATGTGTGTATGCGATCAAGCGTTTATCGAGGATAACGGAAAATAATTGTTTAAATGAATGCAATTATCATTTCAAATATTCTTTCCAATGCCATTTCGAACGGGTTAGATCATAAAAATGCTTGCATCATCTGTTGTTAAAAAAATTATTTTGTTTCATTAAAAAAATTATTTTTACAATTTAGAAACAAAAATTTAACGAACGAATTTCGCATACTCATTAAAGTTATCGTTCCCTTGGGCATTTGAGCTTCATTCCTCATACCACTTTAATTTAACTTAATTCGACTTGAGGGTCAATTTCTGAGGAATATTTTTAAATATGCCTGAAATAATAAAATTTTCATCAAGATAGACAAAAGTTTTAGTATCTCTCTACCATCCAGAGATATTTATTAGAACAAAATTACACATTAATATCATCGTTGTATCATATTAATATAGTTGTTGTGTATGTTGTTCAATCGAATGTCCACTTGCAATGAAAATGTGATTGAATTTTCCTCCAAATTTCCTCTCAATTTATTTTGATTTTCCAGATAACCAGAGCTGATGTTGAGGTTCAGCCCTACGCCTTCACCACGAAATCCCTGTACGTGGGTCACACGGACTACAAATATCTCCGTTGGCAGGTGATTGACACACCTGGAATCCTAGATCACGCCCTAGAAGATCGAAATGTCATTGAAATGCAGGCAGTAACAGCCCTCGCCCACTTGAGAGCAGCAGTTTTGTACTTCTGCGATGTGTCAGAACAGTGTGGACACAACATTGAGGCCCAGGTTCAGCTCTTTGAGTCCATAAAGCCATTATTCACCAACAAACCTCTGATTGTCGTTGCTAACAAGACTGACGTGCTTCGTTTGGATGAGCTGCCGCCAGAGAAACTGGCAGCTCTGAAGACTCTTGAGGACGGGGGAAAGACCCCGATCATGGAGATGAGCACTGTCACCGATTTTGGGGTGATGGATGTCAAGCAAGAGGCGTGCGAACGTCTGCTCTCGTTCAGGGTCGATCAGAAGATCAAGACTAAGAAGGTTGATGGACTGCTGAATCGTCTCCACGTAGCTATGCCAGCACCGAGGGATCAAAAGGAGCGACCCCCTTGCATACCAGAGAGTGTTTTACTCAAGAAAAAAGCTGCTGCTGAGAAAGTCGAGAGGAAGAGGAAACTTGAGAGGGAGATTGAGGAGGAAATGGGAGATGATTACGTCCTGGATCTCAAGAAGAATTATGATATCGAGGGAGATCAGAAGTTTGATGTCATTCCTGAGATGTGGGAGGGACATAATATCGCTGATTACATCGACTTAGAGATATTTGAGGTGAGTTGAATGAAAAAAAAATGATTAAGACAAGGAGATGTTTTACGAATACATTGACATTCGTTTAAAAATGGAAATTAAGCAATTTCGCCAGTTGTATGTCAATGGTGGTAAATATTTTGTGAGAGGATTGCAGAGCATTCGAATTCTTTTCTATAACAAGATATTTCAATTTTTTAAACAATTTTTAACGAGTTGATTTGAAAATTTTTTCGAAAATTTCCCAAATTCACATTTTAACAATTTAAATACAAATAAATGATGGTTATCCTCGGTTTTTTAAACAACATTTGAACATTTCTGGATGGGTTCAAAATGGAAATACTTCACCTCCGCATGTTTTCAGAATGTTATCATTTTTGTTAAAAATTACTTCTCTTAATATATTTGATTTTGCTCATATTTTCAGAAACTGAATGAACTTGAAAAAGAGGAAGAGATGCGAAATGAGGCTGGATACTACGACTACAAAGTGCCACTCCTGTCAGACACAATGAAGGAAATTCAGGAATTAGCGAAACAGATTCGCGAAAAGAGGGCAATTGATGCTGATGAGGCTAGGGTTAATAAGGCGTCCACCAAGCCTGTTATGCCACGTACAGCTGGTGCCAAGGTACGGGGTAGATCCGTGACGAGGTTGAGGGAGCAGATGGAGGAACTTGGAGTCGATATGGATGATACTGAGAATGTAAGCAACAACTTCATTCGACAACAAAAAAATCATCATTTGATTTCCTTTATTTTATTGTTCTTGGGGTTTTCAGGCACACTTCACGAAAACTAGAGGACGCTCGAGGTCGGCCTCAGGCCCGGCTAGGAAACGCCTGAGGGTTGAGTCACTCTCCACATCGAGAGCCAGAAGCAGCTCCAGGCCGGCGAGGGATGATATGGGAGTCAAGGATGTTGTGGTGAGTTTTATCATTTCTCGGAATTGTTCAACACTGATACATTATTTTCTGGATAAAATTTCCTGTCGCAAACAATCGAGTTCCACAATTTTTCGACACATTTGTAATCTCCACGTTCTAATTACACAATATCCCTATTGAATTCTACTAAATTGAAATGGCTAACAATGTAATTAACTATCTAATTAGCTAACCCAATTACGTTGTTGGATTTTTTTCTTACTTAAGCATTCTAAACTGATAGGTTTACTCTGCTGAGGAATAATAATCATAATCAAAAAGTGAAATAATTTTTACATGATCATTTGCATGAGCATCTTGTACAGTTAGTTTAATATTCTTCAAGAATAAATCAATAGCCATAATTGCTCTCATGTTGAATGTAATTGTTCGAAAATTACACCTAAAATTTCACGTAAATCGTGTTGAAATTTTTAACGATTAATTTGCTGAACATTTTCAAGTATGTTGTTAATGATAAGTCAGTTAATTTCTGGAATATTTAATGCTGTTTCAATTTTCTGGTTCATATAACAATGAAAATTATTCAAACTTGTGAAAATTCAAGCAACTATTGTTCTGAATTCTCAATGAAATGCAACGAAAATTCAATTGCGTGTATTCATTTTCTGTGGACGATTTGATTTTAAATTGAATTCAAAATCACTGCATAGAAAATTCAAGTACAGCTGATACTTGAATTTCCAAAAACTTGAACAGCGTTGCATACTTCCAAATGTTTAATTTTTTGTGGGCAATTGGATCGGTATAATTTAAGTATATGAAATTCAAACTAGATAAAATCCATCAATTCGGACTCGATCTTGTAGATTTTCTGTTTTTTTTTAATTGCGCATCCTTGAATTTTATACGTCAGCTTGTGAACAATAAATCCACAAGTTTGAATTATACAATGGGGAATTCAATATGTAAAGATCATATGGGGATTACAATTTCTGTAAAGTCTCAGTGCAAAACATTACTTTCTAGAGAAATGAAGGGACTCCAGTGTATGCCGTAGTTAATTTTGTCATTTTATCGCGTGTAAAAATGAGTATTTTTCTCAATAGTCCTATTATAAATATTCAAACGACATCTAAAAATACTGGACACAGGAAATATGACTCGATAATTGTTTGATTAACCCACTATTTCTCCGCCAGATGAAAACAAAGCTCAAGAACATCGCGCACAAAGCCATCCGGAAGAAGGTCGCGAAGAAGGGTCTCAAGGGTGAGGCTGATCGTTTCATCGGCACCAAGATGCCGCGACACTTGTTCTCAGGAAAGAGAGGCGTTGGAAAAACGGACAGACGATAATTCAACTCCCTCGACAATCCATCAATGCAATCCAACTGGAAGACCTGTTTTAATGTCAAGTGCCACTTGTTTTCCATCTCTTTAAAAAACCACTAAGTAGGTGACGTCAGCATTTGATAAGATACTTTATCTGCTAAACGCCCATTAGCTCTGTGTCAGCAGAATGAAGAAACATAATTTACAAACATAGGAGTAAAGGCGATTTCATTCTTTGAAAAAATTATGTAAAAATGAAAATTCAATAAAGATTGGGGATTCCCAAGAAAATTTATAACAAAAGCTCACGAAAATTTTGTATATCATTTAAAAATTATTGACATGCGGTCGAAAAATGCAATTTTAAAAATTCGATATCCGTTATAATGAAAATAATTTCAAGATTGGATGCGAGGGGGAGGGAAATGAGTGTCTAAAAATTTATAAATATGGAGGCGAAGACGATTTTGTTGGTGAAGACTTGATGTCAAAACGAGAATTCAATGAAGATTAGGGATTTCTGATAAAATTTAGTATGAAAGCTCATGAAAATGTTTGATATCTATGTAATGAAAATAATTTGGGGAGGTACGTCTTGAGGATTTGAGTGCGAAGGGGAGGGAAATGAAAGGACAGAGAGTGTGCAAATTCACAAATAGACAGAATGAAGAAATAAAATTTACAAACACGGAAGCGAAGACGTTTTTGTTCGTAAAAAAGTAATGTTAAAATGAAATTTCAAGAAAGATTGGGAATTCCTTGTAAAATTTACGTCAACAGCTCATGAGAATGGTTCGTAGCTGAATTCTTAGTTGAAAATAATTTGTCGAAGTAGGCCCTGAGGATTTGGGTGCGAGCGGTAAGGACATGAGGGCCTGGAAATATTATCGAAAAGGTTTATAGTGGCTATATGGATCAGAGAGTTCCCATTGCCAAATAACGTGTATCAAGAAATAAAATTCATAAACAAGGGAGTAAAGATGTTTATAAATTTTTAAAGGAGAAATCTAAATAAAATAAAGATGTTCCATAAAGTTTCAGGGGCTCTATGGGTCAACCAAGTGTCCATTGTCAAATAAGATGTATCAAGAAATAAAATTCATAAACAAGGGAGTAAAGATGTTTATAAATTTTTAAAGGAGAAATCTAAATAAAGTAAAGATGTTCCATAAAGTTTCAGGAAAATGAGGACCTTGGAAAATTATTGAAAATAGCTCATAGGAGCTCTATGGGTCAACCAAGTGTCCATTGCCAAAGGAGGTGTACGAAGAAACAAAATTTATAAATAAGGGATTAAAAATGTCAATAAAGATTGGGGATTCCCTAGAAAATTTATAAAAAAAGCTCCCGAAAATTCTTGACATCTTTGTTGCAACGAAAATAATTGGACGATGTACATCCGTAGGATTTGGGTGCAACGGAGAGGGAAATGAGGCCCTAGGAAAATTATCGAGAAGGGCTCGTAGGGGCTATATGGGTCAGAGAGGGTGCCCATTGCCAAATAAGGTGTTTCACTGGGGTTTCCGGTTTTTCGTCGATGCTAACGCCCCATCGTGGTATCCGTATGCAACGCCACGACACACGCCTCCCCATTTATCTTGGTCTCTCTCACACTCGCATTGACTCATCACCAGCATCGGGAGAGAAAGAGAAAAATGAAAACTAAGTAACAGGGCCCCCACGAGCTTTGTAAGTCTCGGTGGAGAAGTGTGGCCCCGGTGAGTGCGTGTGCAAGTTTAAAATTAAAATAAATTCGGACCGTAGTGTATGTTGCGACTTCTTAGTTGCCAAAAATACGAGATGTACGAAACACGGAAAATTTCTATTGAAATTCAAACTCACTGATTTTTAATTTAAATATTTAGGAAATTTAATTGCTCAATTTTATCTGTTGGGGGAAATTTTGAATTTTCATGGGCAATTTTTCGTGATTATTTTCGTTACTAATGAGAGAGTCCAAACGTTTCTATAAATCATCAGTGAGTCACGTCTCGAAGGATTGAAATAAAAACACTGGATTATTTGAATATTCGAAAATCATTGCAATTGGATTTTGAATAATTGGTGAGTAGTACTGACATTAAGTAGTTTGAGATAGAAAATTTAATGAAAAATTAATCCGAAGCACTGGGAGACTGGCGCTTATTTATAATCGAGATATCGGGGGATCCCAAAAAAGCGTCTTCTTTTTCAAAATTCATGGAGAACGGGAAATTGAATAAATGGCGCCCAATCATATCGGCAACACCGTAAAAATCCAGGATACTCAGTTTTCGCCAACTTATCATATCTTCCTTTTTATTATGACGTGAGAAAAAATTGCGTTTTCGCCCCCGTAACATGAGTAATTGATGTAAAAATTATAGTCGTGTGTGTACATATCTCCGGAGATTGAGAAGTGTGGGCTTTGGGTTGATATATATCAGACCCAAAAATATTCGTGGATTCAGTGAGAGTTTGGGTGGTAGTCGTTCAACGCTCGAAACTTTTTGTCGTACCCAAGGGTGGGGAAAAAGCGTATTCTATTTATAAAATAAAATCGGGGGGATGATCCACGCGACGCCCACGCCTTCGAGTGGCCACGTAACTTTTATTTATTGAAAAAAAAAGAAGTGGTGTTTTAATTTTCGTGATGATGTCCGTTGTAGTTTAGCCGGCGTAGCGCGTTAGACCCTATCACTGTATTTATTTGTTTTTGGTCCCTGGAAAAGTGTTGTTATATTTTCATTCGATTTTGTAGGTTAAGTTGATTTATTTTCGTTGAAAAACACCCGAGTTTTTGGTTATTTTTGTTGTGGATACATCAGTGAAAGTGAATTGTTTTTATTTTATGCAGTGAGGGCGATTATTTATCATTGTTTACAGGAGCAATTATGTCGTTTCGTGTTGTGCGCAGCAGCAAATTCCGCCACGTGTACGGTACAGCATTAAAACGTGAACAATGTTACGACAATATTCGTGTCTCGAAGTCGTCCTGGGACTCGACATTCTGCGCTGTCAATCCAAAGTTCCTTGCTATTATCGTTGAGTCAGCTGGCGGTGGTGCTTTTATAGTTTTACCACACAATAAGGTATTGTAATTGGATGGTAATTTATCTGGTTTTGGCATTAATTTGTGAGGGATTGGAATTTGGGGGGTTGGGAGGGTGAGGAGGACAATGTGATGATTATCTTGAGAAGAAGAAATTTAAAGGTTCAGGCAGGATAGAGCAGGGAGGGGTAAAATGAACAATTTCCCCTTTTTTCTAATGTTTATCACTCAATTTTGCATAAGTCAATTTCGTCCACAGAGTGATTTTCGATGGATATCTTGGAATTTAAGGGAGATAGACAAATTTCTATAAGGACCTTTTTTGGGGAGCTAAATGAGAGCTACAAAAGAGTTCTTGACGAAAATTTTAATATCTCTCTTAGATTCGGAGATATTCCTAAAAATTCAACTAGGAGCTACGTCGACATAAATTTTTTTACCGCTTCGCGACTGATGAGGAGGAACATGTGATGATTGAAAATTGAAGTCTATCGATGGTCATCACGAAGGAAAAAATGTTTTTTTTCCATAGAAAAAATAACTATCCCATTTTATTGAAAATTCAATGAGCTTAAAAAACAGCCAAAAGTGCCCATTTTACCCCACTAGCTACTGAACAAATGGGTGTCATGGACTCTGTTGTTGTGAGAGAATACGTGGATGGGAATTTTTGTTGCATAACTGGAAAGCTGGGAAAATTTCTCATGCCAAAGAGCATAATTAATACTATTTATATCTCGTTCCCAAGATATTTCAAGTCCTCTTTCGCTTGTGAGAGATATTTTCGACAGTTGCTGAGAATTCAGTGGAGAGCATTGAATTTTATTTTCGTTTCATTTTCATGTGACGCTGGGCAATGATAGGATTGAAATTGTAATGACGATTTGGGTAATAATCAAGTAGAGTTGGTCTTTCTGATATTGACAAAATGAATTCCAAGAAATTTATTTTTTCATTTTGAAGCTGAGGACGTGCAAGTATTTTGGCGGTTTTTTTTGTGCAATCCTCTTCAGCATTTGTAAACGCTATTTGAGCGTAGGTTATTAAGCATTTTTCAATGATTTTATTGTTTATATGTTGAAAGTTTAAATTTTCTTCATTTCGAACCGTTAAGAAATACTTGAAAAATTGACAATTAAAACATGCAGTAGAAACTAGGAAAAGGTTCGATTTGGGCGAATCTGGAAGTGCGCTCATATTTTTAAGTCATGTACAAACTCGTTCGTATATGAAAAACATTTGTACGTAAGATTGTTTGACCCTTACACCCTTAAAAATCCCCTAAATTACATCTTCCGTTCGCGAATATTCCGCGAGTTTCAGCATCATGTATGAACAATCAATTTCCGTCATAAAAATCTTTTTTTTTTCTGAATTCTAAAACATTTTTTCATCATTTTTCAAAATTATTTTCATCAGATTTATCTTTCCACATTAATATCCTCATTTACCTCACCTTCAAGATCAAACTCGTCCCAATCGTATCATTGATTTCCAAGATAATTCATATTTGAGGAGTTTCACGTTGCCTCACCTTTCTCCATTATCTGAAGTTATCAATTTCCCCCAATTATTCTGTCATTTTGAAAATAGTCATGATTTTATCAGTTTTTCTATTTTGAACGGCATCGCGAGAAGTCATCGCTCCATCGTCAGGGCCTTCAACCTGATATTTTCCTTTCATATCTTACAGGAGAAGTAGATTAGACTGACGACAGGAAAAAAAAGTATTCCGTTAAGGGGAGACCGCGGCGAAATTTGGAAATCGTCGGACGTTACGTTGATACTGAACCGTTAGAAAACATTTTAAAAATCTTTTTAAAAAAATTTGAAAGTTTACTTTTGGCGGAAAGATGATAAAATAGTTTAAAAATTGCAATTTTTGAAATGAATTAATTGTCCACCGTAAAAATCATTTGTCCGGAATCGTAACAAATTTATTCATATTCAGAATTTTACAAGAGATCGATTTCATGCCTAAAAAAATAAAGTTTCCGAAGCTTTAGACAATTTCAATTATTCAATTATCGCAACAACGAATTTTTGAAAAAATGGTAAATCTGTACAAAATAACTCGAATGACGAAATTTTTCTCACTCAATTAAATTAGCAAATTTGATGATTGAAAATGGTTGGATCTACAGTGTGATCTATACCAAACTGTAAAAGATACTTGAATATCCTTAAAATCATATACAACTGAAACAGTAAAACTAATTGGATGTTATTGTAAATAACTGGGAGTAATATTCAAGATATTTCCTCGACCAAT